GGGACATTTGCCACTTATTTCACTCAACCAAAGCGCCCTGTCTGCCTCTCTGCGTCCTGGGTGCAGGTGCTGGGGCGGGGCAGGCACACAGGGAACAGCCTGAGCTGAGGCACCAGGTCCCGAGGGTCCTCCAGGGCTGTGTGACGGGCACCATGCCCCAGGAGTGGGCGGGGAGGACCAAGGACGGGCGGGAAGCAGACGCACTCACCACCGTCTTGCCCTCATCTAATTACTTAAAGGGACTATGATTTAGCGAGGGCTTAAATAGATGGCATTGTGCCTTGACCTGTCCTGAGCTGCAGCACACCTACTTCACATCCACCCTCCGAGTGTCTGGGTTGGGCAACTCTCACCACCATCTAATTCCAGAACATTGAGCACCCAGAGAGCAGGTCCTCGGAGCAGGCAGCCTGGGTTCCCGCCCGCCCTCTGCCCTCCACTTCCTGCAGGTGGATGCCTGGGGCTCCTGTCACCAGCTCCAGAGTTGGGCTGGTAGAATGTCTCCAGATCAGATGGAAAAAAAAAAAAAAAGGGTTTGGATGAGATGTTGAAATTACTCTGATCAAAGTTCCAAGCTCCAGGTTTCAAGACAGAGCGATGGCTGTTTTTTAGAGGGGTGATTAACAATTTCCCAGCCTCAGCAAGATCAGCTGGGTGTGTGCAGGTCTCATTCTGAAGGTCGGTGACCCCTGGTGACCCCCCTTTATGGATGTTCTCCCTTGTAGATGGGATCGCCATATGTCCTGCGGGGCATTTGCTAAAAGCGGTTTTGTTGCTGTCATTTGACACTGGCGCTAACCCCTGGGCCACATCACCAGACCTTTGTAATATTTTATTAGAGACAGGGTCTCGGTGAAGTGCTTAGGGCCTCCCTAAGTTGCTGAGGCTGGCTTTGAACTTGCGATCCTCCTGCCTCAGTCTCCCGAGGCATTGAGATTACAGGTGTGCCCCCCTCCCCGTGCCCAGCCCAGCCCCTTTTTATTTTTTATTTTGAGACAGGATCTCACTGAGTTGCTGAAGCCAGCCTTAAAGTTATGATCCTCCTGCCTCAGCCTCACAGGTTGCTGGGGTGACAGGTGTGCACCACCGTGTCCAGCAACAGGGGGTCTTGAAAAACTCGTTTCAGCCCTCTGGGCTTTGGTACACACCACACACACACACACACACACACACACACACACACACACACACACACGGGAGATGGAGCCCAGGGCCTCTAAGTGCTCCACCACTGAGCCTCACCCCAGCCCTTCTGGAGACTGGTCTCCCCGAATCACTGAGGCTGGCCTTGAACTTGTCCTCCTGCCTCAACCTCCTGAGGAGCTGGGGTCACGGATGTGGTCACCACACCACCTGGGCTGCTTTCCCCTTTGGCTCTGCACCGTGATTTCCTCCTTTGACACCGGGGTAAAGATGGGCGATTCTCTCTCATAAAAACCCAGATAGTACATATAATGGTTCCCATCAGTCGGGGGTGGGTCCCTGGTCCCCCTTGGAGACCCACACCTGAGGGTGCTCGTGTTCCTATATGAAGTGGCATGGGTTGGCACAGAACCCTGGGCCTCCTCCCGTGGACCTTCGTCCTGCCTACGACTTGGGATATTGACCCGATGGAAGGTCGTGGCCGTCCCTGACGTCCTGTTCCTAGGAGCCGTGGCAAGAGAACCCGGGAGTTCCCTGCGGACGCGGCTGAAAGCCTCGACCCTGGCGACCCTGGCGGGGTGATGCAGAACCACCGCGAGCCCTGGAGGCCGCCCGGCCTCTGCACCCACAAAGAAGCGCGGACAGAAGCGAGGCTCGCGGCTGTCCCCGCGGACTGGGGGCGCCGAGGGGGAAGTTCCTGGGGGTCTCCGTGTCACCGTGTCCTTTAGAGCCCTTCCCACCCTTTACAGAGGGCAAGGCCCATTCTGGGCCAGCGGCGTCTTGGCCCACCCGGCCCGGCCCGAGGCCTCCTTCCTGGGGGGCGCGGGGCCCAGGTGCCCGCGGCCG